GATACTTTACCAGCGAGTCTGAAGACTGGTTGGATTTTTAAGTGTTATTAGCATGAAGTGATACAGGTAATTATTGTGTTGTGAAAATATTCATACACTCACTTTGCGCCGACGTGCGGTGCCTTTTCATTTTGGTAATTATTCGCTTGGATGAGAATTTTACCTTTATAGACTGATTTTTCGCCATTCCACCCTTCTGATTTTCTGTGCCTTTAAGAACGGGTGTCCGTAATCAAAATATGAAAACATTTGTTCATTTCATATACTTGCAGTTTTATCATCAAGTTATCTCGTGAACAGGCACAACCAAACGTACTAAAGACGTGTAATAGAGATCTACTATCAACTGCTGTCAATAAAGGCTTAATTCAAAATAAATTATAAATTAATCGATCATGTTGGACGGTCTCAAATATTGCATATTTTCAGCGCCCTCAATCAGTCGCCTATATAATAATCTTTGTCGCGCCTTAGCGCAGCAAACAATTCACAATTTCTTCCATTTCCACTTCCTTTGTAAACATCACTAAACAAGCGTTATTCTGTTGCAACAACAGCTACTTTAATTTCCCAAACAGCTCTAACTGTTTTACACGAAAGCATTTTCAATGAAACCCACATCATTATTATTATTATATTTTTATAACTCAGTCATTTGAAACTTTCACAGGCACATGCATGTTTACCTGAAGTACATTCCACTATCTTGCATGTGCATTGCATCCATTCACTTTTTTTAAGATTAGCTTCGCTTTGCTTTACATACACATCACATGCTCTGCCACTGTAAGGATAATTATGATCCCCATCATTAATATTACATCATATCCCTACAAAACATTGTTATGAAACATTCCTATTCGGACTTGTAGCCATTTTCTTTCAAGGTAGCAAAATATATGCTTATTGCCGAAATTAGTAAGGATTTCTTTTTGACTACAACTAGTGTAGCCATACCAGTGCTCCCCTCCCCAGTAATAAGTTGGGAAAAGGACATTTGTATGATGCTATCATTGTTTACGTTTGGGAATTTCCCATCCCTGATTTTTGTTTGACTAGATGGCACAGCAGTACACAGGCTAATTACAAGCTTTTGGTTACCCCTCGTGACTTAGTGTTAACTGGGATATTGACAGCTGACTTGATCTAATCAATTTTCTCCTGAACATTTTTAACAAACAACTTTGACTTCAGAAATAGTTCTGATAAATTCCCTCTGACATTCTAATTTGGAAGATTAATCATCATAATCATTATGTTCTTTCCACCTCCATAAACACCCAACATAAGTTCTTTGTTTATAATTCAGGCAGCTTCTGAATATAAGAAATCAA